AAATAAACCAGTCATAGGTGAAATAAACCAAAGGCAGCTGCTACGTTATTTTACTGATGTGTGAGATCTAAAATAAGAAACTTTTCATGGCAGTAGAGACAGGAGCCATGATTATCAGATAACTAGGGTAGGAGAGGAAGTTGAAGAGAGGTTGTTTCATTCATACAAGGTTGAAGTTGGGAGGAATAAATTCTGATGTCCTATTACACAGTAGGTTGACTATAGTTAAAAGGTGCATTCATAATAGCTGAGTGAGAGGATTTTGAATATTCTCAACAAAAAGAAATAATAAATATTGGAGGTGATATTATATATGTGGTAATTATCTTTTTTTATCAGTACCCAATGAATACATGCTTAGAAATAGGATGTTGCACCCCAGACATATTTATAATTACAATGTGAATTAAAAATAAAAGAAAAATAAAAGTTTTAATACATGATTTGGTCTCCCTGGTCTACAAATATTCTGGTTAAAGAAGAAGCTTGGAGAAATAAAAATACATTTATAATGTGGATTTAATTTTATTGGTGACACCAGCTTCATATAATAATAATGACAAACTCAACTTAGTCTAAACAACAGAGAACTTTTTACATGACATAGTAAGTTTGGAGGTAAGGCAGACTTAAGATGGATTAATGTTCAAAGTTGGTGCTCCCATGACCTTATAAACAACCTAGGTTGTTTTCACTTGACATTCAGCATTACTATTTTCATGGATCCAACATCATCAGAGCAAATCCAAAATGTCTCATCCTTACACACTAACATGCAGAGCACAGAATGGTTTGAGTTTTACTTTTGCTCTGTATCAATATTGAATAATAATAGGAAAACCTTTTTTGTTGATCTCTCCAAAAGAATTCTCCTAAGGCGCAGCAAGTAGTCAAAGGGAATGGGGTAATACTGTTCAACATAAGTCAGTCATGTATGGGAGCTAAAGAGGGAGGGGTGAAGCTCAGAAAAAAAATATGACTTCATTGTGGCAGATTAGAAGCAGCAACACACACAAGTTGCTCTGAGATACTCACCCAAGTTGGCAAGCATGTGGCTGGACAGGGTTGTAGGGAGACCAATTGTTGGAATACACGTAGAACAAGACACCAAGTGGATGAAATTCAGAAAGAGACCAGCTAGAATAAGAAACAAACTGCCTAACCCTGGTATTACCTCACAGCAGCTTTGGAGAAACCATTTGGAGAAATGTAAAAATTCTTCAGGGGAAGAAGCCAGTGGATGTGGCTACTGATTGTCACCCAGCCTAGCTGCCACTCATGTCGGTACTGACCAGGCTGAGTGACTCAGGACTATACAGAGTACTAGGATAAGTGCTGAGGCAGAGAGAGACATCCTGAATCAGGCTGTCATCTCCCTGACCCTGAGCACTGCAAAGACTGTAAGCCAAAGACTCAGAGACTGTGGTTGTTAAACCCACAAAGCTAGGAGTAGAGATTAGCCTCTGGAATGACACTAGCTGTGACTGCCTCCTTCCTGACCCTAGACAGCAGAGCGAGACCAGGTGAGCTAAGGCACAGCTGGGCACCAGGAGTGCCAGACAGGGAAGGATAGGGAGGAGCTGGCTTTGGAGTCTGTAGGCAGGAACTTGGCTCTGGAGCTCAAGGCTGAGACCCTTGAAGGGAGCAGTGTGGATGCTCTGGCATGATCCCAAGAGCATCAAGGGCTAAAGATAGCATCGATAATCTGCTCTGGGATATCCATCCTAACCTGCAGAGTAGGATAATACTGCCCAGGTTTTTGGGCTTGCTGGTTGGTATTTTGTTTGGTTAGGCTTGGTCTTTTCTGTTTTTTTCTTTTTTAAATATTCTGTGTTTTATCACATATTCTTCTTTAATGGTTGTTTTTTAGGGATATTTAACTTTAGCTATTAGTTCAACAATTGGATAGGATCTTCTTATCTCTTAGTTACATTATTTTTCTGTTTTTTTTTCTTACTTACTTTCATATACCTTCTATCTCTCTGCTCTTCTGCTGTGTCTTATTGTATTTTATTATTCTTCCATCTTCTCAGTGGTTAGCAATATAGAGATCTTTTAAAATGAGTTCTTCATGACTTGATAATGTATGATTAGCTTTTTAACTATTGTTACTGATAATTACTTTCTACTCTCAAATCAGTGTTAGTAGCAGAGCCTAACCTAGAACAAAGTGAATGAAAATGCTCAAATGGAGACACACCCCAAACACAGAGCTCATCATAAACAAAGAGCCACTTACTTAAAAAAAAACCAGAACAGTAGAAGAGATAACCTTCTTGCTGATCTCCAAAGCTCAACAGAGAAATACCCAAATAATGAGAAAACAAGGCAACAAGTTGCATCCAAAAGTTTATAACAAATCTCACATATACTGGAATGTATGCAATTTTAGACACAGACCTTAAAGAAACTGATAGCTAAGATGATCAGTGAGACCCAATAAGAGACAAAAAAGAAGGAAAAGCAACTGAATGCATGAAGAAAGTCAATACAGGATATAAAAGTCCATTTCAGTAAGGACATAGAGCAGTGGTGGCGAACCTGTGGCATGTGTGCTGCAACTGGCAGTTTTTATCATTGAAAGCTCTAAAAGGTTCAGTGTCAGTGACATTGAAACTGGTTTTGAAATGGAACTAAGCAGAAATCCTGGCAAGGAAAGCTCAATAACTATATAAAAACTCAATGCAATAGCTCAGCAATAGGCAAAACGAATCAGAAGAAAGAATATCAGGATTTGAAGATAAAGTAAATATACTATAGTACTCAGCCAGTAATAATGACAAAAACAAAAAGAAACAATAAAAATGTTATCCCTGAGTGCCACGACAGGAGTGCAATGAATGTTCAATAAAAGACTTTTAGAATTCCCAGTAGACACAACCAGAAAAGACCCCATAACATAGTCAAATTGTTAGAAATTCAGAACAAGGATATTGAAAGCTACTGGAAAGAAATGCCAAATCATTTAAAAGAGCAAACTCAACAGAAAAATAGCAGATTTCTATACAGACAATAAAAGCTATCATTTCCAGCTCTGAAAGAAAGTAATTGCCATATAGATTACTATATCCCCGAGACCAATCTTCAAATTGGAAGAGAAATTAAGTTTTTTTCTCAACAAGTAAAACAACTAAATGTGACAGAAATTAACTAAACAAAGGAAAAACAACACAATGATAGGAATTAGTATTTTTCAATAACAACATTCAATGTTAGTTGTTTTAACTCTCCAATTAAAAGACACAGATTGGCAAATTGAATCAAAAAATAAGATTTGTTTATACGGCATTTTGCAAGAAATACACCTCATCTGAAAAAATATACACAGACTGAAAAAGAAAGATGAAAAATCACATTGCAAGCGCTGGAATATGAAAGGAAGAAGGAGTAGCTATATTTATATTTGACAAGATAGATTTCAAACAAAAATTGTGTAGAGGAGGCAAAGAAAAGCATTACATACTGGTGAAGGTTACCAGTATTTACCAAGAAAAGAAAACAACTGTAAATATATATTCATTAATGTCTACACATCCAATTTCATAAAGCAAACATTAATTGACATAAGAATAGATAGAGTCTCAATAATAGTGGAAAAGTCAATGCCTTACTCTCACAAATAGACCAATCAGACAAAAAATAAAAAAGAAACACCAGAATTAATCTGGACTATATATAAAATGAATTTAATACATATGCGCAGTCTTACATTCAATAGCAACAAAATATACATTCTTTCATCAGCCAGATGAAACTTTCTCCCAGACTGTCCACATTTTAGGCCATAAACCAAGTCTCATAAAATGCAAAAGAAATCAACAGTTGTATACATTGCCTCAGACTACAGGGGAATCGAAGTAGAAATCAGTAGCCAAGGAAATCATACAAACACACTGAGACTGAATAATATGCTCTTGAAGTATCACTGAATCTCTGAAGAAACCAGGGAGCAACTTAAAAATTCTAGAATTGACTAATAATGGAAATATAGCATGTTAATATCTCTGGAGCAGAATGAGAGTAGTTGTAAGAAGGAAATTTATGGCTATGAGCACCTGCATTAGATGAAAGAGCAAGCTCAAATAACGCATTTCATTGCAAGGTCTCAAAAAAGAACAAACCAATCCCTAAACCAGTAGAAAGAAATAATACAATTTAGAGTGGAAATTAATGAAATTGAAACTAAAAATACACATGATCAAGGAATTAGTTCTTTGAAAAGATAAACTAGATGGCCAAATTTACCAAATAAAAGTGAGAGAAGGCCCAAATAAATAAAATCACAGATAAAGAAGACATTAGAAAGAAATACCAAAAACTAAAGCAATCCTGGACAAAAAGAACAATGCTGGAACATCACAATACTGAACTTCAAGTTATGTTGCAAAGCCATAGCAACAAAAACAACACACACACACACACACACACACACACACACAATTAGAAGACTTTAGTGTAACGACAGTATAAGACAAGTCAACCCCTACAGTCAAAGATGAGTAATATACATGTAAATTGGGATGAAGAGGTCATTGCAATGCATGAAACTGCAAACCATGGAAAAATATAAAATGTTCTGATATGAAGGTGCTGGAAAAGACGGTAAGAGTTGGGTTGATTTAGAGGGTTTGGGAAGGGTTTATAAAGAGTACTTCCATGAAGTGTCAACAATTCTATGTGTATATTAATAAACCTTAGGTGACAGGGTAACTAGAAACTAAAGTTGCTATTGGTAAAAAATCAGAAGAGACATTAGAGGATTAGGGAAATATTTGTTTTTCTGTTTTACATAGCGACTTTGATTCTAAGTCTGTGTTAATGCTTTTGTTATTTTTTCTTTTGTCTTACTTCACAATATTCACAGAAGGACTTTGTCATAGTTCAGGTTTTTATTTCCAAAGGAGAAATAATATGCCTGGATAATAAGCCTTGGACCGACTATAACAAGACAAAAGCCTTGTTTCTGGGTATCACGAATCAGTTTTCTCTTTTTCAGACATATGAAAGTGCACATTAAAGAAAAATAGGAAAGCAAAAGGAGTAAAAACATGGTAAGATAAATTCTATCACTATCCATCCAACTTTACACTCATATAAAACAGAATACAGTTTTGTCTCCTATGCACATACAACATTCTCCAAATGCACATATGTTAGACCATAACCCTATACACAGAAGAATTACAATAATGTCCATAAAATAGAAATGCTACAAACAATATTCTTAATCGTAATGCAATAAAACTATAAAATTTTTAACAAGTTCATAAACTAAAAATGGTCTTTCATTGCAAATTTAAAATTTTTCTAGTAAACCCAGGTAAAGAAGATAAAAAATTTAATTACAGAATTTAAAAATTATCAGGATACATGAAGTACATTTTTAAAAGGCCTGTCACTAAGCACTTTCATAGTAAAATAATATAATGTAAATGAAGTATGTGCCTCTCTTAGTCTGTTTGGTCCACGGTAACAAAAGTAATATTGACTAATAGCCTACAAACAACAGAAATGTGTTGTAGCTCTGAAGGCTGTAAGTCCAAGATCCAAGCGTGGGCAGATTTTCTGTCTGATGAGGACTCCCCAGTCCCGGTTCAGGCACAGCTTTATTCTTGCATTCACTCATAGAAGGACACCAGGGAGATCTTTGAAAACATTTAGAAAGACTCATCGCAGCCCCCAGGGCTCTGCCTGCCTGACCCAAGTATCTCTAAAAGTCACATCTACTGTTTTATACTTGGAGTTAGGATTTCAGGACATTAATGGAGGGGGGGAATAAATATTCAGTCTATGGAAGGCATCAAATAAAAATGACTTCAAACAATATAAATCAAAAGGAAGCAAAAAAGCAATGAAAAAAGTTCTAATTATTAAATGAAATTGCTGATTTTTTTTGAAAAATATTAAAAGTATCTACTCCTTTGAGCAAAAACAGTAGAGGAAGAGTAACTCACAAACTTATGAAAATGGTTAGGTGGAAGACGTGGATGGAACCCGGCAAAAAGAATGAGGGAAGGGTATCACAGAAGGGAGAAGACAGGCTTTGCATTCTGAGTGTATTTCTTGCTTAGCTTTACTTTTAGCACTTTGGCAATATTTCATGTAGAGAAAATTTAAATAAATAATTAAAATCAAGAAGAGCATAAGAAGAACCCAAACAAGAATAAAAATAGGTACAGATATATTGTTTTACAGACAACTAACATAACTGCCCTGAAGGGGTAGAGAAGAAAAAATTAACTGAATTAACTTTGGAAAACAACATTTTGACTTAATGTTTTAAGGCCAAAAATAAAAATAAATGTACACAAATTTAACGCTATAATTAGTAAATTTTTCTTCTCAAGGTTATGGGTTGGCAGTTCTGAAGCTAATTATATGTAAATGTATTGTAGATAATTAAGAGTAGGTTTCTCACTGCTCAGGAAAGAAGCACAACATGGAGAGGGAGAACAGTAATATGAACTCTATGGTGTTGAATTAGAATCAGATGTATACAGACATACACATATACACATATACATTCTCGAAAGAAATAGGGGATTCAAACATAAATTTTGCAGAAAGGGAAATGCCCTGTATTATGACTGCACTAGTGAATATTCAATTCTATGCATTGGTTGAAGTTCGTAGAATTATATACCAAAAAATTACATTTTACTGCTCTAAAAATGTTAAAAAATAACTGAGGATGTGATAATAACTCAACTTGGAATGCACCCTTAATGTTTACTGTGCCATGGAAGAAAAACCCCTTATTTCTGTATTTTATTAGCAGCAAAATATTGTTACATTAAGAAAGAACTTGATTTTATTATATTTTGTAAGTGAAGCAACTGAATTTTGTGGTGTGGGGTATGAAAGCAGCAAGGAGAAACATAAATTCCCTCTTTGAAAATTGGTAGAACATATAATGTTCAGAGAATAGTACATTCAGTGGAGAAAAACAAATTGAAATTCATTGCTTTAGGATGATTGGATTCAATATGTGAAATTGTATTTATGAATGATGCAATAAGTACTTTTATATTGACATACTCCATTAAAATAATAATCACTATTTAAACTCATGATGCTATTCATGAAAACTAAATTATTTGTGTCCAAATCTCTGACTACTTTTTTTTTTTTGTTTTGTTTTTGGTTTTTCTCTGGTACCGGGAACTGAACTCACGACCTTGCGCTTGCCAGGCAGGCGCTTTTGCCGCTGAGCTAAATCCCCAGCCCCTCTGACTACTTATTTTTATACCAAGTATCAAACTCAGGACCTAGGGCTTGCCACAAAGGCACTTGTGCCGCTGCGCTATATCCCAGGCCCTTGTGTCCAAATCTCAAGCTATGTAAATTCCATTATATTGTATCCACTGCAAAATTTGGCGAATTACTAGATTAATCAATTTTTTGGCTTAGAAACGAGTAAACTAAGTGACATCTTGATTATTTGATTCCATTCAATTTATCCAATCTCCCTTTAGCATTTATATTTGCTTTTTCCTCTCCCAAGGAAAACACAGTGTCATAAAAAGAACAGTATTTATTGGCAAAAAGAGAACAGTTTTTCTTTCCTTTGTTTTATTTTTTTGGTATGGCACTGGGGATCAATCTTTGGGGCCTTCACACTAAAATACATTCCAAGCCCTTTTCTTTGTTTAGTTTTGAGACAGATTCACAAGGTAGTCAGTTCAAAATGAAAGCTTTCAATGTGCATTATAGTAACTTTTTTTAAGAAGTGACTTTATTTCCTAGGTGTTTGCAATAGAATGCTGTAACCAGAAGGGTAACACATTTAAATACTCTGTGCAGTATTTTCGTTACTAAAATATTTTACCAATTCTTCAGGTGACTTGAGGATCAAAGGTGTATTTGTAGTTAGTTCAGCTAGCAAGCCATGCAATCTTTGAGACACTGTGTGATTGTACTTCAAACAGTGTTGGTATACTGGATCTCATGATGGCAAAAACATTTTAAAGTCACTGAAGATATAACTTTTCCATTAAGTGAGATACATTCTTTATATAAATGTAGGAGTCAGACAAGCATCCAAAGAAGTGTTCAACTTGCTTTTGTTTTTCTCATCTTTATTTTTTGCTCCATTTACATTCCTCTTTCTCATACCTTTGTCTGCAAAAATAAGTTGCTTGTCAAACATCCTGGTGTAGTTTAGCATTTATGTTTTAAGTAACATTTTCCATATGTTTGTTTTTGCCTCCATGGAGTGTCTCATCTCAACTTTCTTCATTCCCCACTCCTGAATTAAAGAAAAAAATTATTTAGCTTTCCTTGCTGTGTTTGGCTACAGTCTGTAAAATCAGCCATACCCAGCTTTCTTTGTAAGTTTGTAATTTTAATTAACTTGCTATAAAATGTCTTCCTCACTCCATTGCCCAGTTAAATAAAGTCTCTCCTTCCTCAACTCCCATAACGTGGGATGTGCAGGAAAACAGTTATTAAAGGATTAAAAAGAAATCATTTGAAATCCTATTCTTCTTTGAAGAAAATTAGGTCAGTTTTTGCCATATTTTCTGCTTGGCTTCTTAGTTCATGGCTAATCATCAATATTTGATGACTGAAAAGTTTTTTGGCTCTCTCTTCTCAAAGACAAGATTAGTTACGTATGTCATATGAACTTCTGTATTTGTGGTAGCGCACACTAGAATTAAAGTTATTGCTCTTTTATTTTTTCCACTATCAACTGCCGCCTTTACTCAGAACTTGCACAGCTATAACTTGGGTTGAATGCTTGAATATCTGACCTCAGATGTTCAACCACTCGTCATCTGGGTATTTTCAAATCTTTAAAAGTAGAATAAAAGTAATATTGGCTTATGGAAAAGAAAAGATGTTAATCCTCTTAAAAATAAATCAGGTAACTTATAACTAAAGCAAAATGGAAAGTAACTGATGTGTTCATTCCTGTTTTCCAGATCTTTTTACCAGTGTCCTGTCAGGAGCAAGAATTAGAGAAAGACACAACCCAGGTTGTAGATAAGAATGTAAGTGAAATATAGCTCTCTTGTGTTCCTTTTTCTTCCTCTTTTGGAAGTAAATTTAAAGTCAGAGGGAGTCATATTACATAAGCATACTTTTTTTGAATGTAGAATTATTAATTCTATTCTCATTCATTTTCTCACGTCACTTCCGTCTCCATTCTCTCTAGAAGAGCACAGATGCCGGTTCAGATATGTGACCGTCACTACCTTCAGTGTCTGAGGGTAACAAGTAGTGTCCTGAAGCCAGCTCATAGTGGATGATAACAGCTGCTGGTTCAGTTTTCAGGAATTTGTGAGCAATTACTAACACAGCTATTACTAAAACATGAATATGTAAGCATAAAATAAAATAAAATAAAATAAAATATACTCTACTAAAATTAAGACGTTATGTCATTATTATTTCACTATATTTTACTCTATGTTCTGGAGGTTATTTGCCTCTATTGTATCTTTTGAATGGAAAGATTGCATTACGGTAGATATACTACCATGTATCTCTTCTGTTTTTTTTTTGTTTTTTTTTTTCCTCAGGTACCGGGAACCGAACTCACGACCTTGCGCTTGCCAGGCAGGCGCTTTTGCAGCTGAGCTAAATCCCCAGCCCCTACCATGTATCTCTTCCTAACTCTAGGTTCAGTGATATCAGGTTGGCAGCTTGAAATTGGTCACAGTGGGAGTATTTATTTATACTATTGGAAAATTGTACAAATCAAAGCTTCCTTCTACACATTTCATCCACTGAAGTAGTCATTGAAATTTGACCAACACATCACTAAATATAATATACTGAAAAACATAAAAAGTATATCTACAAGGCAGCAAGAATCTAAGATTCATTTATTTGATTCTTCTCATTTATCCTAGTCTTTGCTTATCATCCTGTCTTTTCCAGGGAGATAATATAGAAGCAAATTAGATATTGTTTATATATCTTCAATCTTTATCACCATCGTAATAGCTAGCTGCCTTCATATATACCCTGTCCCAGAGGATTTAAGACAATCCACTGATATGCTAGCTAATTTAATAAAATAGTTTAGCAAGAAAATTAAAATAAGATTAAGATGACATTCTAGCTCAACAGGAAAAGAGTAAAAGTCAATAATTTTTAAGATAATTGGACTTGAGTTTGAAAGTATAAAATTAGGTTCCAGATTTTCATAAACTGTGCAGGATCTATGATTTTGCCATAATTCATTGGCTTGCTACAGTTGATGGATTCTAGCAGAAGACATGAAATTCTTCAGTAAGAGTTGAAATATATTTTATTACTCCATGAGCAGTAATAAACTGTCATAATTTTTGTGTCGGTCCCTCATTACTGAATTCCTTAGGTTTTTGCAAAGAGGCCCAAAACCCACTTTGTCATAAACTGTGTTGTACTACTGGAAGAAATCTTTTCTCAGGGGATACAATTCCATGGTCTGTAAGCTGCTTGTTCTTTACTGTAGAAGAAGCATCATCTTCATATTCCATTGTCTTCATATTCTTGAAGATAATCTGAAAGAAAAGCATTTATTTCTTTACTTACAACTCATGTAGATAGATGAGAAATTTAGGGAAAATTTTCTCCTTACATCCACCCCAAGTCATTTACAATCAAAACAGCAAACTTTAGAAGATCAAGTAAAATATAAAATTTAAGTAATGAAGTAATGAATAAGTGATGTTATAGATGTTTTTTATAAAAACTTTTGGTCTTATGGTGAGAAAGGTTCTAAATAAGTAACATGTTCTTCTGAAAAAAGAAAAATATTGAAAGGTATAATTACCTAACCATTTAGAAATTTTTAGGCAGAGTGAGTTATAAATTACAGACATGGATAAATTTGTATATCATTAATAACTAACGAAAACTAGTACACAAAATATGTACAAAGTTCTTCCAAAGAAATATTAAAATACAATCAATATAATATGAGCAAAAATATGAACAGGAGTAAATAAAATACGAAAGGTACAGGAGATATTGTGAAAGGGGAGGAACCTGCTTAAAAGGAAAGAATTACTGAGGTGAGGGAAAGAAGAAAAGAAAGAAGTAAGGGAAAAATTATATACACACACACACACAAGATAGCTAAGATAATTGTACTAATAATTTCTATTTGTTTTTGAAGGAATAGTTAATGCCTAGTTGTGTGATCAATTTTGAATGCTTATATTTGGTAATCTGAACAACTGCTTTGAAGATAATAATATACAATGTAACAATCATCGTTAATTTCCTATCATTTTGTTTTCAAATGTTGTATCATTTTTACTGTTTTTTAAAATTCTCTTTAAAATTAAAATACATGAGCAGGTAATTTACATGAGAAATACAAACCAACAATGATCAAAATCCCTCAGTCTCACTGGAAATTAACTTTACATATGATCATTTTTATCCTGCATGTGACAAATACATAAAATAAACAGTGGGTGTTGCTGAAAGCATAAGACAATGGGAAATCCATAAACGTTGGTGGGGTGTAAATTCATATAGCAGCCTTGGAAGTCAGTTTGTCCATATCTTTTAAACCTTTAAGATTTGTTTACTTGATGAACCAGTAATGCTTTTATGTTTACTCAATAGTAATACATTCTATTTCTTCAAGGAGCCATGTACCACAAAATTTATTGAAATATCCTTTGTTATAGCATAACTTAGATTGTCAGTAAAAGAATAGCTAAAGAAAACTTGGAATATAGCCAGACTGAAATCCATGTGGTAACTGTCTTGGTTACTTTTCTATCATTTCTAAGACAAAATACCTGCTGTTCAAAATTAAAGAAGGAAAGGTTTATTTAGCTTACAATTTGTGGAGGTTTCAATCCATGCTCAGTTGGATCCAAGGCAGGGTGGCACATGGCAGAGGGCAACTGTTCATGGTGGCTGAAAACAGCGAAAGCAATAAGAGCACAGGGGAGGAGCAGAAGGAAGCAGCGTCTTTCCTTCCCTTATATTTTATGCAAATTCTCTGCCCCAGGGCGGGTGTAGCACTCACATTCATAATTCCAACATTAGACCATGAATCAATCATAAACTGTAGAAGCCCACCCCATGACTGCATGAGGCTTTAGGGGGGACACCCAGACACAAACCCTATCAGTGATATTAACCATAGATATATCTGAGAGGAATTTAGGTTGGCAGTTGATAGAAAGGAGAACTTTTCTTTACCTTTTTTGTTTTTGAAATCTATTCTAATTTTTAAAAGTATTAATTAAATAATGAATATTAGCAAAATATTTAAATTAAAGCACTTTCTTGAAATATACTTTGTCTCATAAGAACATAATATGTAGATGTATTAATATATTTTATGACTTCAACTTTAAATTTGACAGTGTGCATTTCAAGTGTTTAAATACTTATTTTAAGGCAAATTTCAGAATCATACTCTCACAGGACACAGAATTTCTCCCATATGGAATTAATCTCACTCTTCATAATTTTATAGTTTTACCCTTTTCCTCTCTACTGGATTGTGAGTCCATGGAGAAAAAGAAATATCTTTTTTTTTCTGTGTAACCTGAATGGAAATTAGAATATCCACCCTAGAGAAAATGGTAAGAGGTAATTTGTTGGTGACATGTGCCCAAATGAAATAATAGTTTAAAAATGTGTTGAAACAGGATATCCATGCAGTAAAGTGCACAACTCTTTAGTGCCTCGTGCTGATTGTTATTTGCGTATTCACCCTTGTTCTGATGCAGAACATGAAATAACTAATTTACCATACAGGCATTTTGACTTTATTCCTCCTTTTGTTAAACCAAAAAAGCAGGGAGAATGAGTATGAAGTTAAGAAAAAGCATAAATATAATAACTACTTTAAAAATAGCTTCTGGATGGGAACATTAACATATGTCCCTAAATGGTGAAATAGAAAATGAGAATAAATAATATGCTACATTGAACACATAGAGTCATTCAGTAGTATGAAGGTTAATGTCTTCCTTGCTTTATCTGCACATTAGATTTTCATGTAATTTAATTATGTGGTTTGATGACTTGTGGGGTTTTCCCTTTCCTGTACTGGGGTTGTTTCATTCCCATGAAGATAACAATTAGTACCATAAAATGATTGGTATATTATTTTAGCTTTAGTAAAACTGGGTAGCCTTTTTAAAATTTTTTAGCTGGAGAAGTCACGTTTATACTTTCCCCTACGTGATAATTGTTTCAATGTTAATATCTGCATTAGATATACCAATGATTGTGTTGTTCAGTGAAAGTGTAGCCAGAAACAGATGCTTTGTATTTTTAGATAATAAAAATTTTCATCTAGACCGATGATGGACTTTCAGAGGGTAATTTTTATGTTTTATTCTCAATCTTAATGATGTTTTGTTTGTAAGGCTGGTAAAAGAAATGCAAAGTTTCTGAGAAGCGAGGAAATAATGGCTCATTTACCTTACACACTTCTTACAAAGCCCTGACAGACCTGAAAAGTGTTCACTTTTATTTCTGGCACACACATTCACATACACCCAAATGCTACAAGCACATGGAAAAGTAAAGAAGATAAAACAGTGAGAGGCTGTGTATCTTCAACTTAGTGTTATCTGAAGAGTTTATACTGTTTTCCCTTTTTAAAAATGTAATACAGTTTTTACTTGAATGGCTGAAATCATTTTGTGTCTCTCCCTATTCAGTAACATATTATGTCCAGAAGGAAAGACTATCTTTAATTTGATATTTACCTTCCTATATATGCATTATCGCTTTTGGAAATATGTATATTTCATAAAATGTAAATATGATCTTATAAATTTTACATCATGTGAATAAATTGTATTCCGCGTGTCCATCTGAAACTTTCTTATTTATTTGGACCAACATTGCTTTGGGAGGTTGTCAAATAGAGAAATAAATTCTAATAACCTGACCTCTTCTTATGTCAATAAATTAATCATTACAAATAAAGCAGGGAGGCCTTCCTTTTCTATTTCTTCTGGAGAGGAAAGCTGTCATAAACGTGATGCTACGGCTTGGATCTTAGGCGTTACCCGAAGGTCTGCATGCTAAAGATTGGGGTGCCAGCCTGTGGCACTACTTTGCCATGGAACCTTTAGAAGGCAGGGCCTAGAGAAAGAAAGTAGGGTCCCTGAGTGTGTGCATGAAGAGGATGTTGGACCCCAGCCTCTTCTTGCTCTGTCTTTATTCTTGGCCTCTTTAAGATGAGCAGCTTTGCTATGCCGCTCGTTCTCCATCATGATGTCCGCCTTATCACTGGCCCCAAAACAATGGGACCACATGAGCTTGGCCTGAAACCTCTGACACTGCTAGTCAAAATAAATTTTTCCTCTCTTAAATTGATTTATCTGAAGTATTTGTTAGAAAGACACATTTGGCTAATAAAACGTTTATGACTGATTTGGACTTCTATTGCCTGTATGTGTGTAGGATAAATACATTTCTTTTCTGTTTACATTCCCACCAACAACATAGAAGGCTTCCTTTGTCTCTGTAGCCATGCCAGCATTTGTTATTTGATTTCTTGATTGCCATTTTTTCTGATGTAGGATGAAATAGTATTGTTTTAATTTGCGCTTTTCAAATGGCCAGCAATGTTGAACATTTTTTCATTTGTTTATTGGCCATTTGTACTTCTTCTTTTGAGAAGTATCTGATCATTTCACTTGGCCGTTTTCTGATTGAGTCTTTTATTTTGGGTGGTCTAACTTTTTGAGCTGTTTATGTATTTACATATCAGTCTGAAGAATAGCTGGCAAAATTTTTTCCCATTTTGAAAGTTGGCTGTTCACCCTGCTGGCTGTTTCCTTTGTTGTGCGGGGCTTTTCAGTTTGATATGATCCTACTTGTTGGTTCCTGCTCTTATTTCTTGAGCAACTGGAATTCTATTGAGAAAGTCATTGCCTATGCCTATGACTTCAAGTGTTTTACCTATTTTATCTTTTGCTAAGTTCATTGTTTTATTTTAATGTTTAGATCTTTGATCCATTTTGATTCTAATTTAGTATGTGGTGAGAGATACGGGTCCAGCTTCAATTTTCTGCACATACTTCACCAGTTATTTTAGCACTGCTTGTTAAATAGGCTTTTGTTTTTCCAGTTTGAGATCCCTTTGGCATGAGGCACATCTTAACTGGAAGGTCTGCTACAGATACATTTTTTAAGGCTTTGTTAAACTGAAAATATCTTTAGTTCTCATTTATGAATAGTTTTGCTTTTTCCCTGCCTGTAATTTGAATTTTTGTTCTCTTTTTTTCAAGATTCTCTCTCTAATATTGCTATCAGAAATTAAATCATATATTTGGGAATGGCTTTACTTGACTTTCTTGTTCAGAGTTCAATTGGCTTATACAATGTGAATTTCATTATTTTTCCTCAAATTTGCAAAATGTTCTGGTATTTTAAAAATTGTTTTCCTTCTGCATTTTATCTCTTCCCTCCAAAAGATATTCCAAGAGTGCAGAAAGATTGAGCTGCTTGGTAGCATCATAATAGTAACTAAGATTCTGTTCTTTAAAATATTATTTTGACTGGACAT